TTACACGTTTTATGGGCTATTTTCTGTTCAACTGTCCGTATTTTCAAGGACAGACCAGCCATAGGTCCAGACATTATTGTAATGTTTACAAACACTTTTTTCACACGAACTTTTTGACGCAATTTTACAAAAATATGAGAAGAAAGACAATTGATTTTTATTTGATCTCTTAATAGATATATATAAACAGTTTCAGAAAAGGTATCACTCCAAGGGATTGAAATTCAACTTTTGGCAAAATTTTGGGAAACATGTGACATCTTTACCAACCTTTTTGCAATATTTTATAGCAATTAAATCTGGAAATCAAACCTTTGGAAGATACTGATTACAAACATATGCATATATATGACACAAACAGTAGGCTTAATTTGTAAGAAAGCAAGGGAAAGGGGATGGTAAAATTTATTAGGGTAAATTTAATTTTTTTTTCCTAACTGTATATTGCTACCTTAAGGGAAGGTAAAATCTCTTCGATCAAATATACCAAAGTTGCAATTTAATCTCCCGCACATCTGTAAGTATAATAGTTTTTGAGATTATCCCATAACAAGGTATTTGGTCAAAGGTCATGGTCAACCTAAGAATTTGACCTTCAGGTTTTTTCAAGGTCTCATGAATCGATAATCATTGGTTAATATCTTAGGTGTCTACAACTTATGGTGTATGAGTTTAAGAGGCCAACAGGCATCGTTTTACTTTCAAAAGGGGATAACCCCACCATTGAGTCTTTAAATCTTTTCGGTCCAAAAGTAACGAAGAAACAGGGTACGGTCCTGAAATAATTCTACGCTTCGTTTGTTTTTACCTATTACGGTAACGTTGATCATCCAATAACAAGTGCTTTAGGTTTGATTTTTCCGGACAAACAAAATGTTTCCACTTACAGGCAGGGTGAGTTCCGAATAGGTATTTCTGAACTGATAAATAGTGTGAACTAAACAAACGGTTACCAAGGCAAATGTTTTTAAAGTTTGGCGGAATATTGATAATAATAGTTTATCTTTTAACCCAAATTCAATTAAGATTAGAAAAAACAGTTTGTCTGGGAAGAAGACAGCTACTCTCACTCTGATTCCGAAAATTCAATGTTTAAGCATTTTTCATAAATTAGGGGAGATAATAAACCTATCCAGTTTAATAAAAGTCATTTCCGGTGTTAAAAAAATATAGCTTACTGTATACTGATTCTAAAAAATATGGTTTCTTTATACTTATGTTTGAAAAATGATAGATAAATATCTACTTCCGGTTTGTAAAATTTCAATTTCGGTATAATCCGGTTAATTCACACTGATTCCAAAAATATATGGTTCAGAGTATTTTCAAATGAAATCAAGACAGCAAATTGCTTTTAGTGTAAACAATATTTTATTATGAATTACTAGTATAAAAAAAAAAATTAAATTCACATTCACAGAATGGATTTAGAAACAAGCATCAATTGATTTTATGAATCTGTCTCCTTAAAAAAATGGCTTTTCCGGCTGACCTTTTTTTTTACTAACCGAATGCAAATGGCTCCATGACTTTATCATGTATAAATATGAAATCATAGCAAAGTTCAAAAGCTTTTACCTTGAATCAAATTCCAAGATCATAAAGCAAAGACCTCAAATCAGAATACCCTTAGTCTCTACTATATATATATTGTTAACGATACAGCTTATTTTGAGTAACATATGGGAGAAACTCCCATTTAATGTCAACCTACCTTTTCAACCAAAATGTATGTGTTAAGACATGACGCAATTAACAATTAAGTGAAAATATTTTGTCGGAATCTTAGACGGTTTCTGAGAAGATGCGATAAAATGCAAAAGTCTAAATTTAGAACACGAGCTGGATCTTGACCTTATTATCTTTTTGGTGGATTAAAGACCAAACATCAAAATACCCCAGGTCTCTATCATTGTTGGATTGCTTGTTACAAATATATTTCTCTTCACTATCAAATACAGACGGGGTAAATACATTTTTTGTAACTCTCATGGAGTTTCTTTATCACTTCAAACAAATGAAAACTGAACATTTTAATAATATAACGTTCAATTTGCAAAATAAATGTGTTCGTTTTTTTACGGTTGTGAAGGAGTAGTAATGATAAGAAAAACAGTATTCGGTCAAACAGGGTGAAAATAAAAAGCGCAATAACTTTTCCATATCTTATGCAAAATATTAAGTTATATGTAGCATAACTGAAAACAAAACTCTGCAAGAAAAAAATTGAGCGAAAGAAGAAAAAAAATTAATGATAAGAAAAAATCCTCAAGTTTTCTCGAAGGAAAAGTAAAAAGACCTAATAATCGCTATTGATCAGAACAAACTCACAATGCCTTCCTACGGAAAGATGGAAAGACCTAATCATGTTAATAATTTGCAAAAACCTGAAAAGATTGAAAATCCGAATCCACTTATCAGAGTCTGTTACTACAAAAATGGCTTGAAAAAATCTAGAAGGCATTTAAAAAATTATTTGAAAGCAGTAAATGAAATCATTTTTGGCTCTGGAGATTTCATAAATGTCAAATACTGTTTGTTCTATTAGCAGTAGTGAAGTCAAAATTTTTGGAGTTAACATAAACATTTTGATTTCAAAAGGAAAAAAGAGACAAAACTGAAAACAGCATATCAATTTGAAAATCTAAAATTAACCGTTTTCAAAATTTGTGCCTACTAAAAAAGCTTTAAACAATTAGAGTTAACATAATATATTGGTTTGATTTGAATACAAGAACAATGAACCACAAACATTGTCTTTGTACAAGAAAATGATCAATCTCTGCAGTTTATAAGATGTCGAATATATTGGTATATGCAAGAAATCCAATTCGTTTTGAGTCAACATACATTCTGTTATTTCAAAAGGATAAAAATAACAAAACCTGAGAAGCTCTGAAAAATCTTTAAATCCGACATTGTCCTTTTCTGCAAAACTGTAGCTACAAAAATGACATTATGCGAGCCAGATGGTTGAATATGTTTGTTGTATGATAATACTACTGATTTATATCAGATTATTGTTTAGTTCCGTGTTTGCAATATGTTGCGGTAGGGGTAATATTAATAATACATTCTAGTTTCACGCTAACAAAGTTCTGGTACTCGTCAGAAAGCTGCAACAGTGTTTTATAGAATGGCAACCATCAAATATTTCAATCGTGAGAAGAATTATGACCAACATAGCTAAAAGCCTGATAATACTTAGAAGGCTAAGACTGTGGGCTTTACTCTGATACCATATTTGAGTATTTACTGAACGTTTGCAACTTGGTAGGCATTGTCAAGTGTATGGTGTTGTATTCTTTGATCCTTATGTCGACCATTTTTTAGATGGTGGGTATATTGGATTTTTCTGTGTGATTCCATATTCAAAAAGACATTAGCATCATAACTAACACTGCAAACAGGACGGTTTTACCATAAAGAGTTCATTTATGTCAATATATTGTCCTTAGTTTTATAATGTACAAACTTTTCCTTTAAATATTATGTTAACAAAAACCTTTTTCAAGTAACAAATCACACAAATCATACAAGGAAACATGTGCTGAAAGGACGAAAAAGTTTGGTAAGTCTTAAACATGTTAAAGTAAATACTATTAGTACATTACAATCTTGTTTTTTCAGAGGAAAACCATTGAGACTTTGTGTTATACTTATATGTACAGAATATTGCAAAGTGATATTTCGTATTATTTTTATACGCCCGTCAATTTTTGACGGGACGTATTATGGTACACAAATGTCCGGTGTCCGTCCTTCCGTCCGTCCGTCTGTCTGTCCGGCGTAAACATGTCGCACCGTAACTTGGGAATGACTTAGTTGTTTCTTATGATGGTCAAACGATCTGTACACTTTTTGGTGAAAATAAGATTAAAACTTTTTGAGTTACGGGACTTAGTAACTAAAACAGGTGTGTGTTTTTTTCACATGTCGCGCCGTATCTCAAAAACAATTTATGATTATTGCTTAAAACTTTACACACTTCTTTGTTATATTAATCTTAAGATCTGTATACTTTTTGGTGATGATTCAAAATTTTATTTTAGAGATATTGAGTATTTTGTAAAAAAAGGGAGAGGGGTTTTTCACATGTCGCGCCGTATCTCAAAAACGATTTATGATTATTGCTTAAAATTTTACACACCTCTTAGTTATATTAATCTTTAGATCTGTATACTTTTTGGAGATGATTCAAAATTTTATTTTTGAGTTATTGAGTATTTTGTAAAAAAGGGGGAGGGGTTTTTCACATGTCGCGCCGTATCTCAGAAACGATTAATGATTATTGCTTAAAATTTTACACACTTCTTAGTTATAATAATCTTAAGATCTGTATACTTTATGGTTTTGATTCAAAATTGTACTTTTGAGATATTAATTTTTTTTTAAGGGGGTTTTTCACATGTCGCGCCGTATCTCAAAAACGATTTATGATTATTGCTTAAAATTTTACACACTTAGTTATATTATTCAAAAGATCTGTATACCTTTTGGTTTTGATTTAAAATTTTATTTTAGAGATATTGAGTTTTTTGTTAAAAAAAAAGGGGGTTTTCGTATGTCACGCCGTATGTCAGAAACTATCTATGCTTATTGCATAAAAATTCACACACAAGACGACGGGCATATCATGCGCTCATGGCGCAGCTGTTTATTATATATTTTGACATAATTTAACAACAGTATTTTTTATAGGTAAAGAAATATACAAAAACCAAAAAAAAGTATGTTATACTTATGGTGATTTCTAGATTCTGTCAGTCACAAGAATTACGAACATTGCAAATCTCAACTTCCAGCAAAATAATATTTCAATAAAAATACTACAATTTAAGTTAAAGAAATGTATCCACAACGTATTAAGGATAAAAAGAAAGGTATCTAGGCAATGGATGCACATGATAAGTTACTCAAATGAAAAAATGATATGTGTCAATGTTCTTTCTTTGTATTTTCAAACAATCTTTAAGGAATCCTTTAATTATTAAACTTACGTTCCGGAATGACTTCAAATGAATAAATGTAATCCTCTGTTTTTTCTATTCCATTGAATGCATAGATGTGATAAAATCCAAAATCTGCTTCAGATACATTCTCAATGTACAAATGTGAAAAAACCCTATTTTTGATAAAAATGTTTGATGTTTTGTGTGTTACATTAGCAAAAGTCTTGTTATTATCAAATATCCAATAAATATTAGGCTTCGGAAATGCTATTATAGGAGCTGTTATATTTAATGGTTCTTGGTCTTTGACTGCAATTATTTGTGTCACATTATGCTCGAGTTCATTTATCCTGGGTGAACCTGGAAAAGAACAAATTACTTGACACCTAAAATGTTTAATGAAAAATTATTGAGGTATAGAGATAACAATTGTAAAAAGGCAACAGTCTAAACTATCTATTGCGCCTAATTTTCAAACCATTTTCTTTCATTCGTGGGTTTCAAGTGTCTTTGAAATATTCGTGTGACGTCATTATTCCGGAATGTTCAATTACTTCAGGTAAGTGAGGTAATTAATTTTTCTAAATAGCAAGAAGTATATGGCCTTTGTAGCTTGCTGTTCGGTGTGAGCCAAGGCTCCGTGTTGAAGGCCATACTTTAACCTATAATTGTTTACTTTTAACACATTGTGACTTGGATGGATAGTTGTCTCATTGGCACTGATACCACATCTTCTTATTTATATGTAAACATATTGTATTAAAGAAATCGCTATGTATAGCTACCAGAGTAACGACATACATACGAAATATACAAGTCATTCAATAATTTGGATTAGGAAACATGGACAGTGCTCTTATATAAATCAGTCTCCCTAAATCCAAAATAAAATTACGAAACTATGTTTACATGCTGAATAGCAAACGAATATACATGTAACAAAATACAGTCAATGAATACAATTATATAAAGAAAGTTCATTATTAGTTGTTATACATATAAACAATAACTGTTTAGTGTCTTTAAAAATCAGCTGTATTTGTTCGAGGCTAAGAAACAGGTGTAATGCGAGCTTCAGTGAGCTATCACTCCGATTTCGAGCCGAGTACACATACAGCTGTTATTTAAAGACACTGATTACAGTTACTGTGGATTCATTATTTTTCGTCGGATACCAATTTTCGTGGATTTCGTGGGTACAGGTGAACCATGAATTTAAATGTTCAACGATTTACAATTTTTCCAATGGCTTGTATGCAGACTTTGGCAAAATCACGAAATTAAATATCCACGAAAGTGTACGTTTTCCTCAATCGACGAAAATTGGTATCCACAAAAATAAATGAATCCACAGTATTGTCTTTATCCTGCAATTAATTTTGTACATTGTTTTTGCTTTGAAAGACAGAAAAAACTCACATTTATTGCATTTATTTTCGATTAAAAATCCTTTGAGGCTAGCGTAGTAATATTTAAAAAAATCTCACAATCAGCTGATGACCGGTACGCCGAAAAGAATCTCGCATGGTCAACAATATACATTGCTCAAAGTGAATAATTATTTAGTATAACATAACTAATTTCAACAGTAAAAAGAAATAACAAAACATTATCCGATATAAGACAAAAGTGTTTGATTTTTTCTACGCTTCAGAATTTCGAACAGTCCGTGCATTCACTGATAATTGACATTGTTGCATGGTTGATTTTGAGTGTTACACATTTACACATTCAAGTTTTAAACTTGAAGATTGGCGCCGTAGAAAATGGAGTAAATCCTGCTGTTCATGTTTGTCGATGAGCAGAAATTGGGTTGCGGATCGGAGACTGGGACATTCACAGACGGAGCAATACGTCATTGGAATGCGATTGCAGAACACAGAGTTTTCGCAGTGATTTCAGTCTTTTAATTCTTAATTACTAATTCGTTTAGCTATATTCATTTTGTTTTCTCTATTAAAACCCAGTCACTCAAAAAATCAATTTAATTGATTGATATTTCAATGATATTGCAAACACAATTTTGGAGGTTCTAAAGACAACATGGGAAAACCAAACTTTTGCAAGATTTTATTGTATCAAAATGAACTGTCATGTTGACCTTTGGTTCCAACATCTATTGGGGTCTTATGGTTCTTATAACACATTATAAACAAAGTTTGTAAATCGTTGGACATCTGGTTTAACATATCACAATCAAACAACGATTGTTGTCAAAATCTTTCTTAGCTGCTGGGACCTTGGTTAATAACGTTTGATCTAAAAATAAATAGGGTTCTCCGCATTCTATTTAGCCTAATCATTTTGAATACTTAAAATGGAAAACGTTGAACATAGAGTTGAAATGTTATCATCCAAAACAAAATAACTGACTTTCAAAAGATTGGGTGGCCTTGGATCTTAACATTTTCACCCCAAATATAAAGGAATCATTACAAAAAAGAGAAAAATATCAATGGGACGTTCAAACTCATTATTGACAATGCATTGTACAATAAAAGAAGAATGTGTCTGACAATACGAATGCCCCCGCTCAAGCTTTGCAGTTTTAAAAAAGTAAAAAATTGACATAACTCTAGAACGGTGAGTGACTCACTGCCCAAATTCCAAAAATTAAGTTAGAGTGCGGAAACAAAAATCGGACGAACGGAAAGACGGACGGACGGAAAGACGGACGGACGGAAAGACGGACGGTACGGTGGTCAAGGGTAACACTTAATAGCCCTGTTATCTACTGCGGGGGCGTAAAAAAACGACAAACTGTATACACAACACAATATAAAAAATAATGACTCAGCAATACGAAGTCCAGCAAAAATCTTGAGCTATCTCAGGCCCACCGATAAGCAGATACTGCGCCAAATGTGGCACTTTTCGCATTGTTTATGTTAGTGTAAATTCGATGATAAGTCTATTTCGGTTATGGCATGTTAGCATATTATTTGGAATTGTTCTAATTTGTAATGATAAAGCAATTTATATGCCATTGGGATAATTTTGATATTTAATAAAAAAAAAAACGTTGCTAGGCAACCTTCCTTTCACCGCAGCACAATCAAATCATAATGTTTTCAAGTTGCGTTACTAAGACCATCAATGATGTATAAATATAAACTTTTTTAGAGATGGGGCCAAAACGTCCCTTATCCTACTTGTCCTTTCTATTATGTGTTTTACACTTACACTACGAAATATTCCAGGTGTGTTGGATACATTGGTTGTACAATGTATATTCCCTATACATTTTTCGCTTCGTTAACGTTTTCTCAATAGTTGAGTAACCGAATTACAACTTTTTGATCATTAATTGTTATGACCTACGTTGTTAGTAAAATCACATTTTTTTTTCATCATGGGTGTCATGAACAAATTTGACTTGCCATGGTTTTCACTCTAAAAGGGATTAGAAAAAGCGATTACCGCTAAAAGGGCAAGCACTAACTACCAGTCTGAAACACATGCGTAGTGGGTTTAACCTTTCATTTGATATCTATATTTGATACCCGACCAAAGAGTAGAAAACAACCAAAGGCCACCAATGCGTCTTCAACACAGCGAGAAAATCCCGCACCCTACATAGTTTGATATTTACACTTATGCGGAGGAACAATTTTTTTTAAACATGGACTACTTTTCAGTATGTTCTTTTTGAACTGGCCTGATTTTGTGGTGTTACATCTTACAAGGTGTATCCGAATTATCTTGTTAATAATTCCGCACAAACCGGTGCTATGGGTCGTATTTAAATTTCAGTGAGCTTTTTTGTTTGCTTCGTGTTGAAGGCCGTGTCATGGATAGTTGCCCATATCCTTTGTTTTTTATTCTATCTAAATTGGTTAATCTTATGTGCATTTTTGTGTTATTGCTATTTGTTTTTTCGTCGTTCCTTTTTGGCCATGATATTATGTGTTTTATATAGACTTTGGGTAATTAGTTCGATTATACTAATTTTTTAACATATTGTTTTCATCAAATTCGATGTCTGAGAGAGCAGAAATATACCAAAGAAAAATTCAATCTTATAAGTCGAAAACAAACTGACACACCATGCCAAATAATAAAAGACGACAAAACGAAAAATATCAGTACACAAAATACAACATAGAGACATATTAAACAAATACAAATTATGCTTTTTATACTTACATATAATATCTATGTCGATTGCCTTCGTGTCTTGACCAATAATGTTCATTGCAGTACAATTATATGTTCCCATTGATAAACATCCAACTGGGCGAATGTTAAGTGTACTATCTGTTAAGTTCGTAATAACAGAAACTAAATCACCATTGCTAAGGACCTTATCTTCAAACAACCATTTGATATCAGCTGTGGGTACACTCTCTGTGTTGCATGAAAAATTAACCGTGTCGTTTTCGTTGTATGTTTGGTTTCCAAAAATATCTTTCACAGCAGGTCTAACTGATTAAAGATAGTTGTAAATTAAGTAAGTTTTAAGTATCTATCGGTATAATGATCATTTAGAAAATTGATAAAAATAAATATCTTTCCATTTACAATCTAACAGTTTCTCATTAAACCATTTTTTTTTTTTTTTTTTGCAAATGAACAAACTTCAAAGAATAATACATTGTATAAACTGAGAAATTGCACAAAAAAAAAAGACGAAAGGGTAAAGATAACAGCATAACAAAAGAACAACTTGGATAACGACCGACAACAAACCTGAGTAATATACATAGATAACTAAAGATTTACCAACACAAATGACAGTAAGGGCTTCGAAAGAACTATTGTATTGAATGCAATGACATTTATCATAAACACAAAAAGTAGTCCTCAATTAGGACCAATACAAAATGTAGTCTTCGATTAGAGCAAATTTCCCGCTTGCACCGTTCCTCATTTCCTTATACACTTTTGCAAAGCACAAAATGTGCCATCACTTTTTATGCGTTGAATCATACATAATACTGCAACATACAACAGTACCAATAATGCAGTGCATTCTTGAGGTAATCTTGGAAGAACAAAATACTAGGATGTACAAAACAAACAGTCTACACCATTCCTATCGCGCCATACTATATTCCCCATGCATGAAACTAGGTGCATAAGTGTACCGTCGACAGTATACAAACCGATGATTATTACGGGGGAATAATCTCAAGTTACGTAAAAGAACATAAATAAGTTGATGTGTGTATCATGTGTATGCAACAAACTGTTTGGATCAATAACCGTTTTAGGTTTAAAGTAGTAAAACTAAATTGTATAAAAACCAAACAAAAATATGCGTCCACATGACACAATGTTACGCTCTCACTATCATATGTCAATAACCTTTAACTTCGTACTTTATTTGGCCTATTGAATTTTTTCTATTCAAGCATCACTCTTGAGTTTTATGGGTACTAAAATTGAAATTGATCTGACCGTCAATCCACTGTAAACTACCTTTACCAAAATCTTTAATCTGATATGGGACGGAAGGACTCACACACCAGACAATGCATTGTTACTTATTATCGTAGACAGGCATGAAAATCAGCAAACGATTAAAGATAAAATTAATGGCTTAAGCTTCAAACAAATGTAACACATTGCATGACAACTAGAAGAACTAACAAGGACAATATTGTAACGTAAAATAAAAATTGAAAGAAAACAGGATATATTCTTTTGTTCAAATGATTACCACCTATACAGATAATGGGATTGAAATATGTCTCTTTTATAGTTGTCGTTCCTGTCATGGAAAACTTTCTATGTTTTCAGTTCACAAATATAAAGATTACACATTATAGATTGCTTTTCATAAATGTTCACATTTTGTCGAAGGCGCAACCAAACTGTATACACATATTACAAAAGTTACACAATTTAATTCAAAATTATCGACAGGAAATAGTCGTATACATTTTGTTCGTGCCAACACAATGTAGTCAATATAAAACATATATTATTCAAATATTCTATACCATTCGAATCCTCGGATAACATAAAACAACAAAAAATATGTTTTCAATAGCAGTTTCCGTTTTTGATAATCAAATACGTTTCTTTATCTATGTATTTTTATTATATACTCACAGTTGACGGTAAGGTTTACATTAAGCGATGTCTTATTACCAACATCATTTACAGCAGTACACTTGTAGTCCCCTGTCTGGTTCCTGGCAATTCTATGTAGATGCAACACAGATGAAGTATTAACAGGAAGATTGGGTCCACTCCATGTCATTGTACATTCAGGTTTACAATCTGATGTACAAGATATGGGAATTGCACTATATGTTTCGTTTACTGTGTAATGTGTTTCAGGTGGATCGATAATCACTTGATCAGGGCCATCTAAAACAAAAAAAAATGCATGAAAAAATTACTCAATCGATTGACATGTAAGTTTTACATTTATCTATATACTATTAAATTTGTAGACCACAATTGTTTAGCCGGTTTGTCTCTGAGCCGGCGATCGTTTGAAGTATTATAATAATAAATAGTTAGTGTATGTAATGTACTTTATAACTTCATACAATAGTTGCTTTAATTAGCGTAGCTTAATTAATTAAACCCAAAATAAAGTTCCGTAGCTGGTTCCTTACCGTCTACAGTTTGTAAGCAGGCGGAAATGGTTTTGTATTCAATTTGTCTTAGATTTATGACAACTCGGCCAACGGCCAACTCGCAGCACTCAAACACTCACACTCATTATTACAACTTGCATCACCTATCAAACTCACACCATTAAAAAAAAGAAATATAACAAACTCGACGAAATATGTTTAATCATTAGATTGTTTTCTTCTTCTCTTAGTAAATCCCTTCTTTCTCGGAGCACCCGTGTCACACAGAGACAGAACTCGCACCACTCGAAAAAAAAATAGTACAAACTCGCACCACTGAAGAAATGTTTTAAATCATCAGAGATTTCTAGATTGTCTTCTCTTAGTTATTTCCTCCGTTCTTGGAGCTTCCGTATCACACAGAGACAGAACTTGACTCGCACCTTTCGGAAAAAAAGAAATACTACAAACTAGCACCACTGAGAAATGTTTTAATCATCAGTGTTCTAGGTTGTCTTCTTCTTCTCTGAGTTATTTCCTCCGTTCTAGGAGCACCTGTGTAACATCGAGACAGAAGCTACTAATTGGACATTCAAACTCCTATGGAAGAAGAACTGACAAACTAATCAAAACTATCAGCAAAATGCATCAGTGCATAAAAACAGTTTGAGAAACACGAACCCAAGCTGTGTATCACCATGAACATTTCAAGTAGTCTTCAAGTCTCCAAGTTTTTTCTAGTCTTTTTGTGAATGGTTGCCCAACAAAATGTAAATAAAAGAGATAACTAAGACATTGTATCGGGAAATACTATTGATTTGTTATGTTATGTTATGATAATGAATTATTTTCACATCATAGTAATTCAAATACGAAATCGTCTGAAAGACCTGAGATCAACTCCGTTTTAATGGAATGTATGTGTGGTATTACGATCATAGTGGGGCGGCTTACCGAAATTTGACAAAATCATGCAAATGGTGATACAAAAATGGGATTTGGCACATACGTTCTTTATGGTGTACTTTATCATATTAGAGGGGTGGCCAACATATTCTAAATTTTTTTAAAGGTGGCCATCTTCAATTTAAAATTCACATCATTTTGCTCAATAGTGGAGATTGAAAACAGATCCACACCCTTTTTTAACGTAATATAAGGGTTGACAACTTTTTGAAATACAACAAACTCAAATGAAAATATGTTAAACAGACAGGAATTGTTAAAATAAATCACCATTTCCGATTAGGGTGGTAAAATTTAGTACAACCGAGTGAAAGAATGGGGGTAAAAATATGCAATAAAATGTCCGTTTGATATACATAAATATGTCGTACATAACTACAACATATGCCTCTATCAACTTCATATCAGCTTCACTGATCAATGCAGGTTTCTTACTCAATCGGCCAAACAGTTTGTTACGTCTTCAAATATTTCCCACATCTGCCATGCCGACCTCTTTCCATTTCCATGAAAACCGATGACAGTGTCAAATGTGAAAGCATGCAAAAAAGGCAAAGCCAATAATTCAGGACCAAGAACATGATCAATTTCGTGAATCGGAAGCCATCGCAGGTTTTTTCCTTATCTAAATGCAATCCAAAGTTTTTTCTACTTTTAGTGTCTTGAATAGAGACACTGTCAACACTGTCTGAGCTGACTATCAGTGTCGACTTACACCCCCTTTCAGCTGCACTTTTGATATGAACAAATATCTGTGTGTCTGCCTCCTCGTGATTTCCAGGAATGAGATCAACATGGTCATCCTAAGAATTTGTCATAACATCCTTTTTTAACAAAAATCATTTCGTCAGATTGAATCGATCAAATTTTATCGGCAACAAATTGTAACAATTCCGTTTTGTTTTTTCGTTCACTCTAAGAAAGCTCGCCAAGTCTTAATGGTGCCCAAAACTTTTCGCCTGGTCCCTGCACCCCTCGCTTTACCTGTTTGTGCTTTTAGGCTGTCTCCTACGTAAATTATTAAATATACATGTAATGTCTACTCTTGAATGTTTTGAAGTAAGGTGATAAATGTACCACAAAATCACAACTTTCGCGCACTCATTAAACGTATATGTTCCACGCTGTGATCTCGAATTTACCATAGTCGCACCATTAAGTACTACCATGTCTGACTAAGGTTCTTCTCATGGCAAATCCCTTTATCTTTGACAGGATATAAAAAGCATTGAAAACAGACTGCAATATTCTCGGGCGAGGTCTGCTTTTCTTTGGTTTGGGAATAAAAAAATTAAAACTTGTTTGTCTTAACACATGTAGGTTCATAATTGTTTGCCTCATTTGGCATTCGGGTTCTGAAAACAGCGTACTGATTGCATCCAGTTTTTTTAATGTACAACAGTTTCCTTGTGTCGGCTTGTACAATGTCTTTGCTGTCTATCTTGTAGATATAACAAGATTCCTCAAGAAAAGGATCCCTTCTAGCGCCTACAATTTCTGTTATTGGATGTTGATAAATAGAGATTTCAGTGCCATGAAAAGAAGATTTTGATGTTGTTGAGCATGGGTTGTGGTCTATGTTGTCGACCGCAGCTGCGGTAAACACTTAAGTCTTAAATGCATGTCTTTTTTATTAGTTGTTATAAGCTTTGAACTAGCTGTCAGTAACTGCGTGTACTCTCAGATCTGTGCTTAGTGTTTTTTTGTTGTTGGAATGTACAAGTACCCGTCCACGTCCACTCTGTACTTTTGTTAGATGTATTTCTATTTGTATCCATCTGAGGAGTTAAGCCTTTTTCAACTGGTTTTTTTTTTCATAGTTTGTTTTTATGTTGTACTGTTACACCACAGTCCCAGGTTAGGGGAGGGTTGACGCCTTCAAACTAGTTTAACCCCGCCGCATTCTGTACGTGCCTGGTCCAAGCCAGGAGCCTGTAATTCAGTGGTTGTCGTTTGTCGCTGGGTTACATTTTTGTTTTTCGTTCATTATTTTGTACATTAATTAGGCCGTTAGATTTCTCGTTTGAATTGTTTTACATTTGTCATTTCGGGGCCTTTTTATCGCTGACTTTGCTCATTGTTGAAGGCCGTACGGTCACCTATTGTTGTTAACTTCTGTGTCATTTGGTCTCTTGTGGATAGTTGTCTCATTGGTAATCATAGCATAGCTTCTTTTTTATACTTTGCACTTTACATGCTTTAGTAAAGAAGGACAACCACACCCTCATACAAATAACGTCCAACTATAGCTTCACTTAGTTCAGTTGATATTTCCAGTACCCGATCATAAGAGATGGATACATAACCCATGTTGAAATAATATATTTATTAGCTGTCTCTTCCTGGGTTTTGCAAAGAGTAATAGGCCAAGATACTCAAAAATAGTGTCTCGATCAGCTGAATGTTTGTGCTGAACAGGAACTTTCTGGGTGTTTTGATGATAATCAAACATCAATAGTTGGGTCAGAGCTAAGTCGGACTTTGTAGAAACGTTATCTAACTGTGATTTAATATCAGATTCATGCTCTTTAATTTTCACCAACTGTAACTGAGTTTCAAAGATGTATATTACCAGCTCAACTAATGCAGTTTATTACATATTTTCCTCCTGAGTACTACTGCTTTCGGCATCTATTAGTCTCTTCTTTGCTTTCTATCTATTGTATACATCTGCGAGAAACGAAGGGTGATACTTCAATTATTGTGATATGACATCACCACTACTTAATTTTGACAACAGCTGTTTATCATGTTTATCCTGTAGCACTGTTGCACAATCCACTAATCGTTGGTTCAGTTTCATTGTCATTACCTCTCTTAAAGAAGGTAAAGCCGACTCCTTTTCACACATGAAATATTTATGCACATTTTCAACAAGATCTGGTTGTTATTCTTTAGAACGAGGAGTAAAACGTTTAGGAGACCTATATTCACTTGAACTTCCAGATGGCATTGGATACATATGGCGTTTCTGGGCTCTCTCTCGAGTTTTGTATTGTTAAACTTTATTCTGCAAAAATTAAGGTTCTTAACATTTTTTTTTCTTATTGTGCTTTCAATTCCCCCTCCTTTGTTTAATCGCCAAATATCTAGAGGAATCGGGAGTGCATTTACTTCATGAAAAAGAGGGATACATTTTATATCCTTCATCTGACGATTTCAGTAGGTCCGTTGTGTCTTTCTAACACAAACAACATTTTGTCCAATCACTTTCCCAATTATCTGTTGAGGAAGCCGACAAGCGAATTATTTTCGCCATTTCAAACATCAACTAATATATAGATAAACTAAAGTAATCAACAATATGACGATAGAACAATAACGCAAATATTGTCTGAATAAAATAACTGAACACTTCTGATATTCAGGCCGAGGGATTATCCTTTTACCCCTTGTATAGCAATTTGTTTTATTAGATACATCTGAATTCGGTGAACCCAATTAAAAGTGTGCCTGCATTCAGCCCGATCGTTTATTCGGTATCATATAACTACCATGCGATCTGTAAACCATCCAGACGAATACGGCCCTCCTCCTTGGCTCGGTTCTCCACGTTGGCACATCCTGTCGATTCAGGTATGACTCCATGACTTAATAATTGTAGCAATCATGAAGTATTTGGGAGCACTTTAATCTTATAAAGCTGGTACTGGACCCCATGCCCTGATTACAGGCAGTATTTGTACCAGTGTATCCTGGTAGTGCAAATAAATCACTCCCGTAAAGACTTCTAGTGATAAGTCAAGCAACATCACAATGAACGGATACCAAGTAATGGTTAAGAACGGACGCCAAGAAAAGACATTAACAAATTAATCA